GCAGCAAATTTCCCTATGTCCGATGAAAAATCCTTTATATTTCAGTAGCATGCGGAATAACTCCTAGGAAAGGGAAAAAAACCTTAAATCAGATATCTGGCATTTAAAGTTTACACAACAAAAGGAACATGCATTAAAATTACTCAGTCATTAGAACAAATTAAAAAACTGCAAGCAGCAGCTCTAATTCCACCAGTAAAATAAATAGATGCAAACTACTGCCTACACTTCCCTCAAAGTAATAACAATGAAAATAACAACGGCAGCAATAATGATAATAATAACAATAAAAATAACAAAAAATAGTGATGACGTCACATCACCCGAATAGAAGGAAAAAAGACTTACAACCGATCACGGTTGCTTCGCATTCTTTCGTCCCTTTCTTTTAAAAAGCCTTGATATGCAACTTTCTGATCGGGGAGGGAATCTCTTCGGGCAACACGTTTTTCAGTACTTTCACGTAATTTCTGTACTGGGATCGAAACAGAACGGCAAAAATACTGCAACAACGAATTAACGTTGGTCACATCCCGCAACTTACAGCCGTGTTTCGCATTTATCGCACAACGCGGCACAACAAGCCTTTGTGGAAGAAAACGCAGAAACATACAGGAAAGAAACCTCACCGTACGACTGCTTCAGCGAAAATGCAGTAAACTTTGCTTTGCCCGACCAACCAAGAGTAACAATTACGACTACCCAACAGCGACAGTTTTAGGCACACAAACCACGGCCGTGTGCTGCTACGCAGCAATCCGACCTTGATTGGCAAATTGCCATATGCGTAACTTAAACGGAATTAGGAGACGGTAAATTTAAATCTGAATACTGAAAACGTTTCAGGCTTTTTTCTATATATCAGACGTTTTTTTGTACGTGACATTTTATAATATTGTGTCCGGTTTTTCATTAAGTTTTTATGCATTGTTCGGAAACAACAAAAGAAATTAGTGGTAATAGATGTAAATAGCTGATAAGTATCATTGTTGACTTAAGGTTATGGTTCTGTTGTTCACAGTGCCTGGTAATTTGTCTGGATTAGGGGTTAAAGTGCTGAACAAAACTAATGTTTTATAAGGAGGTTATTCAGCTGTAATTTTGCCACAATGAATGAAACAGTATAAGTCTTAAATGTTATCAGAACGGAAGAGAGACAAATACGTGGAACTAACTCTTCACCAAAGACTTGGTATCCGCTACAATTATATCGTACATTGAATGGGAAGAAAAAAATGAAATAGAAAAAGTGCTGCGAATTCAAATATCGTAGTTCCATATTATGCAGAAAATAAATAAATAAATAAATAAAAGAAAAATGCGATGTAAAAATATATTTATACACCTTTATATATCCATATACATTTAACCGTAAGTGAAGCAATAGCAGGTAATGCCTTGGTGACCCTCAGTAATTGCACCGATATATGTTCAGAATTGTACACTCATAAATGCGGCAGACATACTTATAATAAGTTCCAGTCGTTTTACTTGTCGTTGTGTTAATAAGAAATATGTTGCATTATATCAGTAAAGTTTAGGTGGTGATTTCTTTATCTATACAGACCTGGGGTGGAGTAAGTTTTTTTTACTTGGTGGTTTATGTTTTTTATCTGTCAAAAGAAGTGTTGAGTGGTTTCCTTTATCGTGCCTTCCATAATTAGATAGTGTTGCTAAACAGTATCTTTTTTGTCAGAAATCATTCTCTCTTCATACTAAAAATTCTTTGGCTTTTTGTAAACCAAATGGTTTGAAAAGTATTTCAGCAGTATATACTCTGAAATTTACTTGAAATATTTTAACTTTTTTGTACTTTTCAGTTTTTTTGACGTATGGAAGATATTTTAGTTCTTTTTTGTGTGGCTGTTTGAACTCACCATAGTTTGATGCAAAACTAGTTTTTTAGCGTAACTGTTGACTGAAATGCCTGACTAACAGCTTTTTGAAGCTCAGTTGGTTACAGGTACTACTGATTCATATTCATTTACAAGTTTGTGGGATGAGTGTGGAAATTTTGAATTATGCTTTCCTCGTTACGTCATGATCACTGTTCTAGACCTTGTGGGATGTTAACATTAGCATGTTTAGTAGCTAATGTGAAATGTATTTCATTTTTTGTTGTTTCCGCATTTTTTGATTTTAAATATCATTAAACATGACTTTAAGTTTTTGAAAATGAAGTCTTGGCTGTTATAGTTTGTGGAAACGTGCTGATTTGACATCTAAGCCGAAGCATTCTGGACTTTATTTTGCGGAAGTAACTTCAAATTACAAGAAAACATGTCGGAAAACAGGTGTGCGGAAGATGTTATGAAAACTGAAGATAAACGGTTTGTAGGATGACTTATGTGAATGGTGATACTGAGCGGGAGAAGTCTTTTAAATTGGTGGCAGTGGAGGGAAGTGCAGCCCGGAACTTCTATTTCATGGACGGTAGAAGGACGCGGTACATTGCACTGCATTTAAGTAGGGGACACCACTGTTTTGCTGAGAACAACAGATCAGCTATTAAAAAATACAGTGAGACCAAGGGGGATGTGACCGATTGTTTTATTAAATATGGTAGGATTAGCGCTTAAACATGTAGCATCAATAATCAAGTTTTTTATGCGTGGATGAAGTAGCAAAGCAGCCCTAGAAAGAAAAGAATTTAAGAGTCAGTTTCTAAGTGACTACGTTTTTGGCTTTAACCGGGGTTTCATAAGATTTTTCATGACTTCACTAAACTGTTTGTTTGCGACGTCGTATTGTTCATCTAAAATTTTATCGGCTGAGTGTCGTTTAGTTCCGCTGGTTTTTGCTGCTTTCTTTATAGAAGGCCGTTTGGAAAGCGAACTTACTAAGAATTATGCTGGGCATTGTCAACGAAGACTCAAACTAATTGTACCGACGAGGAGATGCGTTGTACTGCCTGAAGTAATCGTGAGAATTTATGCCTAATATATTTAATTTGGATATATCATTGAGAATAGTGGTTTTTAGAGGTTGTGGGAAGGCAAGTATTAATATATTCTTGCTTGTACGGTACAGCTAGACTATGGTCCTAAAATCATTATTCGCAGGAAATATTATGGCGTTTAACGTACTACTTCCAACGTTTTGATTTTCCCTTGTTCCTTCATCAACAAACGGTTTATGTGCTGGGAGCGGTTGACAAAGCTCAGAAATTAGAAGAACCGTATCTTAGTTTCGTATATTTTTGTACTAGATTGGCAAGGCTTAAAA